TTTTTTAAAAAAAAAAAAAAAAAAAGTGTGCAAAACTGCAAAACTCATTGTAATAGAATGTGTAGGGTCAAAGGGGTGGAACGGCTGACAGAGGTTTGATTGAATAAATGCATCAGAAATCTTCCAAACAAACACTAACCTGGAGAATCTCCAATGACATTTCCTGTGCACCATTACAAAATCTTTTTATATTCATGAGAGAGGGAAAAAAAAAAAATCCAAAAAGCTTGCAAGGCAGCACATGAAGTATTCACAGCAGGAATATGATTGAAAAACTACTAATATAAATGTAAGATGTTGACTGATGTTTTTGCACTAAGAGCATCTGACTTTTAGCACTGGCCTTGATTACACAGGAGATGGAGCAGCCATTACAATTCAGAAAAAATCCCAATAAATCATTGTCAAATTTTGTAACCATTTGTTTCAAGCTCTTACTTTAGTTGATAGCCTCCACATTTGTATGGTTAAGTCATTGTTGCTGTGTTTCCTTTTGTTTTTTATTTTTGTTTTGTTTCTCGTGACCCCAATTCCTGGTCTCCCTTCATTGCGCAGGTCTCGTGGGTGTCGTGAAGGTTCATTCCTGTACCCCTGGACAGAATCACTCCCTCTAGCTGCCTTTTCTAGCACCATTACACTTAAAAAAAATGAAAAATGCACAAACAACAAGCAGTGACAGCGGCGACTCCTCACCCATTGTCCCGGATGAATTAGGGCAGCATGCTGAGGAAAGGTGCATGGAACAGCCGGATATGGTACACAGGCCACGCTCCTTTCCGAGCATCACCTTCCAGCCCCCATCCAAAAAACATGCATTAGAATGTAGGAAAAACCTTCTAGAAACATCTCTTAGCCAACTGCAGACTTTCCTGTTGCCACACAAGTGCAAAAAAAAGGGGCAGGATGTGAACCTGTAAATATTTTTTTTTTTTTTTTTCGGTTTTTGGAACTTCGTTTGGTGACAGAACACAAAAGGAAAAATTCCTACGCATACACATTAGGTCTGTCTCCACTTTTATAAAACTGGAATAAAATGGGAAAGTGCCATGTTTATAGTTCCTAATTGAAGTTTTAATGTCCTTTGACACAAAAAGGTATATACATAAGAGCTACGTAACCTTTCTTTTACCCCCCCGACTGGACAAGTGTCAAACCCTGTAGATTTATAGGGCAAAACAAGATTGGTCAGGAAAGAATTGTTCCTATAATTGGTAATCTGACACTATGTCCTTTTGCCATTTAGAAAGGTCCTTTTCTTTTTTTCAGTTTATTCAAGTTTGTCTGTCTTCATGGTTGGTTTTTTTGTATGTTTTTTTTATCTCTGATAAAAAAAATATTCAGACTTTTGTAATCTGCGTATGCTGATCTTCATCAAAAGGTTCATTCTCTGGATCAGAGTCAGTGGTGTCAGAGTATCTATAATGATCAGGTTCATTGTCACTAACATCTGGTGTTACAGAAGTTGAACTGCTAGCCTCTGGGTTTGATGGCTCTTCTACTGTTTTTGTGAAAAATAGCTTCACCTGGGGAAGGAAAAAACAACATTTAAAAAGGGAACCCGGACTTCAATTGAGCACAGGCAACAAAGCAGCTCTTAACAGCACAGCTCCTTGGCTACCCTGAGTCACACCCGTGCTCCTCTCCCCAGAGAGAGGTTTGCCAGCCTCTCAACACCACCCCTGGCAAAACAAAGGCCTGGCAAAGCAGCAGGATTTTCCAGCCCAGCTGCAGGAATTGTGTCTGGCTGAGTGCTCAGGTGCTCCTGAGCTGCAGCAGCAGGATATCCCAGCACACCAGGCCACACCACCACCACCCTCCTGCCCTCCACAATTCCCAGAGCACCAGGAGATTGCAGCAAGAGTGCACAGGAATGAACAAAACACTCTCTAATGGGTATCTCATGTGTGGGAAGTCTGATCCAAGCAATATTCCAAGCAGCTATGACCATTACCTTCAAATGAGCACTGGCTGATCTTTTATGAGGAAGTTAGAAAATGCTGGAATTCTTACAAATGCCTTTTTCGTGTTAAAAGCGCTGTTGGCAATGGCTCATATTCCCCAAAGCTAAACTGCCTGGGTAAGGCATTCCTGGAATCACAGGACAGCTGGGGTTGAAGAGACCTCTGGAGATGATCCAGTCCAACACCCCCTGCCCAGGCACAGGAGCACTTCCAGGTGGGCTTGGAATGTCTCCAGAGAGGGAGACTCCATACCCACCCCAGGCAGCTGTTCCAGGGCTCTGCCACCCTCATGGAAAGAAGTTCTTCCTCATGTTGAGGTGGAACTTGTGTTTTTGTTTATGGCCTTTGCTTCTCACTCTGTCACTGGCACCACGGAACAGAGCCTGGCAGCCTCCTCTGACACCCTCTGGAGATGTCTGTGTGGGACAGACAGGGATCCCCCCTCAGCCTTCCCTTCTCCAGACTGACCCAGCCCAGCTCCCGCAGCCTCTCCTCATCAGAGAGATGCTCCAGACCCCAAATCATCCTTGTGGCCCCTCTGCTTCCCATGGAAAAGGCACTGCTGCAAATCAGCTCAGCAGCTGAGTGTGCCCAGCCCAGAACTCAGGCAATGCAGCTGGAGCAGGGATGATGGCACCTGGTCACCAGCTCTCCCACACCTCTGATGGCTTCAATAAACACCTGGAACAACCTGCAGACTTCAACCCCAGCTGCTCAACATCCATCAGCTCCCCAGAAAGCAGACAGAAGTACAAAGCTCAAAGCTTTGCTAAGTGATGGCAATACCAACACATGAACTCAGCTTCTACACAGCAGTTTCACAGGGTCCCTCCAAAGGCAAGACAAACAAATCATGCAGCTTTTCAACTTTGTTCACACATAAAATATACTGACCTTGAAGTTTGGAGAGAAATATCTGTTGGCTTTATCTTTATTTGCTTTGTCTAGATCGTTTTTTGTTAATGTAAGGATTAAATATTCCTTATCATTATCTGAGCGCTCTGTACTGAAAATACCATCAAGTTCCTGATCTGCAACTAGACTTCCATTTTCTACTTTGTCTGAATTTTCATCCAGTCCTATGAAGAATGTATTTACCCAAAAGTGAAACATTTTGTCCTGGGGGAGGAAGAACACAGAAAACAAGCTTGCTTTAGTATTCACTAATGGCACGTTAATTAGACTGCTATCAGCATCTGGTCAAAAACAGATCTGTAATATCAGGCAAAACTTGGACAACAGTCTGTCATTTGTTACATTGCATGCAAAGACATTTTCACCACATCTCCTGGACAACACACAAAAATCTGCATTCATCAAGCTCAATTTTAACCAATTAAGCTTTTAAGAATCACTCATTGAGAGCTGGGCTTTAAACTAACATACCTGCAATAAAAGCAGATGATAATAAATTCAGTAAACTAGAACTTGCAATCACAAGGCATAAAAAGATTTATTTATTTTTTGCTCACACCTTGCCATGCAATCCCTAAACCAAACAGACAACCTCATCAGCTGAGGTGAGCAATACTGAATCTCCCCTGTAACAGAAAGCTTTTCTTATTTTTATACAGATATAGCTACAACTGAGCAACTACTTTACTACTACAGCAAAGGATTCATGGGTGCTTTGCTGAGATGCTTTCACCCAGTCAGACTTTTGCTGAACAGCACTAGGAGGAAGGCAGAGCCAGTGCCTGCTGTCCTGTCACTCAGCAGGAAGATTTTAGGGAGAAGCTGAGGCAGTGACAGCTGAAAGATGTTCAGCTTAAGCAGAACTTGACAGACAACCATCAGCAATTTGATTCTCCACTCTGCCACAGCTCCAGCTGTACCAAGAGGCAGGACATCCCTGTGTCAGAGATCCTGAAGGCTCTGGAGAAGCAGCTTTCTGCCAGCCCAGAGCTGATGTTTCCAATGTCAGCTCTCCTCGGCAGCTCGGTCCTGACCGCACAGCAAACCCCTCTCCATCTGACACTGAACTACATCCACTTGCTCTTTACACGTGAAATCTTCTGTGTGTGACTCTGATGTGGCTTTTCAGGGCAAAGATCAAGGATGCCAATGGACAGTTCCTCCCACAATGGTCAGTTTTCCTGCATTGCTGCTAAAGCTGCAGGGAAAGTAACCCATTCCAGAATCTAACATTCCTTGCTATTACACAGGACCAGAACACAAACTCACTCCTTCTGAGCTAACTTACATATTTTGGTTTACCAAGGAGATTTAATTCCAATTTCTTATTGGAAAAATCCATGTCCTGCCCTATCTTCCTATTCATCTCTGCTAGTAAGGAAGCGGGGGGGGAAAACAGAGGTGGAACAGAAGTGATTCCAGCATGTGTGACACGAGCAGGCCTCCTGCTGAAGGCAGTTTGGCACCAGCAAAATACCACAGCATTTTCCTGAGCCAATGAAAGAGGACAGGGAAGAGCTGGACTACTTAACTCACACTCATCCTCCTCACAAATTTATTCAAACAAGATCCTGGGAATTCACAAGTGTCCCTCTCCACCAAACGTCAGCAGATTGATTTTCAGTATTTTAGGCAAAGCCTACAAAACCGCTTCCAGCTTGTCTGCATTTTTTTAAGCACCTGAGAGACCCCATGACAGAAGTTAAAAATCCAGCCAGGAACACCTCTGGTAGTTGAGTTCCCACTTTACCACGTGCCTCTCTCCAGCACTTTGGGAATCAAGTTCATCTAGCAAACGAGTTGTTGGGGGAGTCTGACAGCTGTTTCCCACTGCCCCTGATTCCCTTCAAGCCATCCCATCTCTGAAGAAGCCTTGTTGGAGCCCATCCATGGGAGGCAGTAGTTAGCAGGCTCTTGCCAGGCCCTGCATATACATTTCACACTCTCCTCTTTCCCCAAGAACAGCCTGAGAAATGCCCTGCCTGGGTCTGGAAGCTGACGATGAATATCCTGGGGTCACTCTGATGATGTCTCTCTCCCAGAGCAGGAGGCAGCAGACAAAATCCCTGTGAAGACAACCCCATGGTACCCTGATCCAGGCTCCTCCTCACCCACACAGTGAGTTCCTCAGAAAGGACTCCAAGGAGGTGAGATGTTTATTCCTGCTCAAAACACAGGACCTTCTCAGGTCAAAACAGAGACAAGCAGCAGCTTTCCTGCTGAAAATCCCCCTGGTGCTGGTCCCCAGTGCCACCAGTGTCATCTCCAGGGAGGGGAGGACATGCTGCAGGGGATGGATGGTTGGAGAATGGCTCCTGTCACCAGTGGGAAAGCAGTGCCACCGAAAAAGAGGCCACTGGATGGGAATCAATGCCAGCAGAAGGCACAGTTTTGTCATGCCTCACCTTCAGCTCCACGAGTGGAAAACCAGGAGGGATTTAGTTGGAACTTTAGGGGCTGGGGGGACTCAGCTTCACTGACAGGGGCTGACAGACAATAAACCTCTCACTAGGCAGCTTTTAATCTGTGTTCCTTGGGATAAATTTGCAGAAGTCTTCAGGGACTCAAACTAAACAATACGACTCAGCTGAGCTGGTCATTTCTCCTTTTATCTCCCTCCAGCTTTTTAAAGCATCAAGTTATTTTCCTTTCCTTCCCACTACACAACTTAATTAGCCTAATAAACTGAGTTCATGGGTCCTGGAACATGGCATGGCTACCACTCAAATTGAGGGAAGACTTGGTCATGTTTTTTGGAATTAGCTCTTCAGGCTGATAACGTGTCACTGTTTTCTCCGAAGAGCAAATCCATTATTCAAAGTGAGCATTCAGCTAAAGCATCAGGACCCAAGATATTTCATGGGAGACAAGGAAGAAAGATGATGTAATATGGGCCAAAGATAGGAATTTTAAAAATCAAGGCATGAAGTGAACTCAGGCTTTATATAGCAAATCAAAATACCAGACCAAGTGCTCACATAACACAAGTTAATGAACAGATCTCTAAAAAAAAAAAGTATTAGAGACTGTTTTTCAATGTGTTTTGCTTCACTTCCAGTTACATCACAGACATCTGTCTTAAAAAAAAAAATAAACCACAGATGTACTTCTTCCCATAACCAAATCTGTGCCATAAATCTCCACTGCAGTATCAGATGAGACAGAGGCTGATTTAATCCCACAATTCTGACAAACAGTGCTTGTCCCTACCTCGTGCACTTTCACAGACTGACAGAAAAACATTCTCCACTCTAGAGCTGGTCTCTAGCTGCAGACTGAGATGCAAATTCAGGATTCAAGCCATCAATCAGGAGTTCCCATGTCCTCCTGAGAGCTTAACTTTTGCAGAGAGATCTACAGGCACTCAGAGTCACTCTGCAGCACCCGCTGAGGGTCTGGAGATGCTCTCCAAGAATGGAGATCACGGTTCAGCCTGTTCCCTAGGCCTGCCTGATGGAACTTCCTGTACCATTTTCAGATCAACACTGAGTCTTCTGACATTTTCAGAGTTCATTCCTCAGCGTTTGCTTAACAGCAACTGCCCAAAGTCTTGCTGAACTCTGCAGCAGAACTTATCTCTAGACTTGAGAGATGAAATGCAACTGCTCAAACAATGCTGTCAGCCCTCCTACGCTGGAGTCTGGGGATAAAACACCACTGACTCTCACAAATTAAACCCACATCAACATTTCCCTCTCATCTGTACTGGGAGGACTCCCAAAAAAAGGTCTCCTTCAGCCCCAGGCTCTGGAGATGAGGAGATTTCTGTATTATTTTTAAACAGACTCCCATTGAACCGAGTGATCTAAGGATACTCTGAAATACTTTCAGATTATCATGTCAACATCAATAACTGGAAAAAAAAGGCTTTGCAGAGATCCATGGGGGCAAAACTAGAGTGACTACAGCAGCAGTCTGAGATGGAAGAACAGTCAAGCTACAGCAAAAAGCCATGCTCAAAAAAAAAAAAAAAATCCCCCAAATTACTAACTTCTACCCATCAGAAATTCATACAGAGTCACGGCACTCGAGCCTCAAGCCATTTTGTTCTCATGTGGGCATGCATTTCATTCTTGAAAGGAAGTAGCTACAGCTCACTGAAGAAATAGTCTGAGAATAAAGTAAACAACTTGATTAGACAAGAAAAGACCAAGAACTGGGGACTTCTAACTGATGCCAGGTGGCAGAAACTATGGAAGGGATGAAACTTTTCCAAGGCTGTCAAGCCTGTACCAATACCCCAGTGGCACCAATGATCCTGTGGCTGAGGTCAGCTCCCAAAAGCCACTGAATTTGCTTAAATTAGCTTTTGCTATTAAAAGAAAGTGGCTGCTTTAAATCTCACACTGACTCTTGTAACATTAGGTGTTTGAAGTCATTTGGTCATTCAGGTTTGGTTTGGTTTATGGATAATAATTTTATCCAAAATGAGCCTGAACAAAATTGAGGAGAGCCCTCCCTACAGAGAGCTCTGCAGATAATGCTGTTCATCAAAGGATTGGGAAATTTGGAAACAAGTACAGGTGAGGGAATCTGGGGCACTTCAGCTGAGATCAGTGTTATCAAACACCAAACCAGAGCCAGGGCAAAGAAGTTTTCTTCATCTCCAGAGATGAGACACAGCCATTCTCCAGCCTGAGGCTCAGAATGGATCAGGAATTACACTTTCAATTGCTCTTATTAGGTTTTTATATCATGCTAAAGTTAAAATGCAGACTGGTCAATATGTGATGTCTTTAAGACTTGTTTAGCTATAATCTGCTAACAGAAAACCTGGGGAGAACAAGAACCAGTGACAGGCAAAAGACTTAAATTCCACTTTTCATAAACCTGGTTAATAAAGCAGAATCTCTGAGAGATAAGATGCTGTTACACCTAATTATGCTGTTCCTCATGCATTAGGTGATCATTGCATAAAGGGATCTTTAAAATACAAGTCTCCCAAGTGGAGGGCCTTCATTTTGGGGTTTTGGGTAAAAGCTGTGTAGACAGTTGATGCAGAAAAGAAACAGGCACAGATGTGAAACACCTGGACAGAGAAATCCGTTCAATCTGAGCCAAGGTAGGTTATTCTGGCACTAATATTCCCCTTTTCCCTGTTCTCACCTCATTCACTTTATGCAACAACCTGTCCAAGGACCTAGTGGATCAGCTCCTGCATTTGTAGCAGAGCTGAGAGAGGTGATCTTACCAGAACTGTGGAACATCTCACACCTGTTTTCCTCTCTCCTCCATTCATACTGAAAGCTGAGGCAATAAAACACTTGATTCAACAGATATTTAAGACAGATTATCAAGGTAGTTCTTTTACTGGGTGATGAAGGGGCAATTTCCATCTCAGAAAAGTTTGCAGATGTGAAAAGAACCACCTTCACCATTTCTTTGGCTCTACCAGGCCAAAACCACTGAGAAACTGAGCACCTCTGCACTATCTATAATCCACAGAACTCAAATAGTTCAGGTGTTTGATAAGAATAGACAAAAAGAAAAAAAAAATAAAAGAAAAAAATCAACCAGCTACTCAGAAACTACAAAGATTCTTAAGAAATGAAACCACAATCTGACACCCTGAAATGAAACTCCAGCACAGTAATCCTCCTGCTGTGGTTCTGCACTTCTACACACTCCTGAAGACCCAATCCATACTGTAGAAACTGTGTGTGGTCATGAGGGGCTCTCATTATGCTGCCTCTGGATCTCAGTGCTCTCTCCAGAGGTAAAATAAATACAGGAGTTTGTTCCTGGGGCTACAGAGCCAAGACCCAGCAGCTGACCTGCACACTGGTATTTCAGGGATGGCCAGGGCAGCACAGCACTTCCCATCAGGTGTGTCTGTAATCCATGTGTTACTGGAGATGGCAAAGAAACAACAAACTCACAGTCCAGATAGGAGAGAGTAGATAAAGCAGGACCTTGTCTCAGATGCTGGGGTTTTGCATCATCTCCTCTCTGCATCACTCATTTTTAGCCCACAGTACTCATCTGAGTGCTCCTTTAAAAGACTCTTCCCTGCTTGCACGTCAATAATCTTGGCTTTGAAGTAGAATTTCTACTTTTAAAATGCTTTTACAGTCTCTGTACTGCACTGACCAACTAAAACATCTCCTCAAACAGGCAAGAGAAGGAAAACAGGGCCACTAAGAACTGTCCAGAAACTTTTGCAGACACCAGCATGTGAATTAAACTTGTTCACACTACCAAGCCCACACAACAGTGTGCATGTCTGCATTCACACACAGCTGGCAGGTACAACATGTCTGCACAGCTCTAAGTGATGTTACCTCACCACTTCTTCATCTCCTGATCCACTTTAGCATTTCTTACTTTTATGAATTCACTCACTGAATGCTCTTAAGTTTCCTAACCTCAATTCAACAGGGAGTAAGTACTGATAAGGATTTTAAGTAGCAAAAACCAAAGCAGCCTTTAATCAGCACGTCTGAGTCCCATCCTCACCTTTCACTCTGGCAGACCCAAAGTGGCTCCACAAGCACCAGAACTAAAGAAACTCAGGGATTCAGCTTTAAGAACTGACTTTGGCTTCAAACTGCGTTCTAGATTAATTTTTTTTTTCCACAACTAAGACCCTAATAAAACCCTCAGCTCTGAGGGAATTCTCTAAACCTCTCATGTCAAGGCACTGCAGCTGGGAACAGAGAGGTGGTGGAAGAGATTGCAGAGATACTTTTACGAAGTGCGTGGGAACGCAATTATCTCAGAAATTCAGCTAAATTTGACAGATGGGTACAAATCAGCCAACAGCACAGACAGGATCTTCTGTGCCTGCTCAAACCTCAGGAAAATTTAGTGAAGAAAACAGCTGGAGTTAACTTGCTCAGTATGCAAGTCTATTTTTAGAAGGTGAATGTTTCTTCCTCAATTAGATTACTCACTACTACCCAAACGACTGCAATACAGACCCAGGATCATTTTTATCCAACCTTTGTACTTAATCTCACCAACTCCCCAAACATCCAACTTTCATTTTGTGGTCAACTGGCTCCTCGGGAAAACCAGACATCAAAGAATTAAATGCCGTGATTAAACATCCTTGAAAAATAACCAACACCCCAACCCCCAGCATCAGGGGCTGGCTCGACAACATTTTCCAGAAAAAGCAAGGAAACCAACCTTTTTCAACATCTTGTTCTGTTTGTGGAAAAATTCCACTTTGATATCACCGCATACCGGCAAAGGTTGAGGGAATTCAAAGTACATGTACTTGTCTTCACGTCGTGAGGGTCCTGAAGGGGAGGTGAATATCTTTACCTTGAGCTGGTACACCACAAACTGAGGATCTGTGTGACAAAACAGAGTGCCACTTGGTGAGAAAAGACTCAAAAGTGTCAAAAACCACAACAATGGGAGCAGAAACAAAATCATGAGCTATGGTATTTTCAAAGTTAACTAAGTTTCTATTAAGGGTTTAACAGCACAGGGGATCAAACTTTGCCAGATGCTACTGGAAACAACCTTAGAGATTTCTGTCCTTCATGGCAATACTTTGAGGCCACCAGGGAGATCCTAAAATGTTATTTCTTTTTAATATAATGATGTAAAACGTAACAACTACTTGACTGTTCCTTGCATTTTCCCTCTCCTCTCTATTACACAGACTGAAGTGAGAGGTTTTATTCGTTCTCACCTCTTCTCCAATTGTAGAGTGGCTGGTCATGTCAAACTGACTCTACTCTTACACAAACAAGCAAGAACAAGAACAAAACTGAACATTAATGCTGAAAACTAACCAGCACAGCCTAAGCTGGTCCTGTAAATCACCATCACCAGAGAAGTGCCAGCCATGGCATAACTCCCCCAATTAAATCTGCAGGGGTAATACTGAAATTAAAACAGGTTTTTGGTCCAGTTTAGGAAGAGATGCTTTGGAAATGGTCATATCAGACACCCCTGTAGAGGTGTGGCAGTCCCTACTAACCACACCTACACTGTCCTGCTGAAGGGCCCAGTGATGAAACTATTACTGCCAGGTTCAGAGAATCCCCAGGATGGTCTGGGTTGGAAGGGACTTAAAGTCCATCCAGTGCCACCCCTGCCATGAGCAGGGACACCTTCCACTATCCCAGGCTGCTCCAAGCCCTGTCCAGCCTGGCCTTGGACACTTCCAGGGATCCAGGGGCAGCCCCAGCTTCTCTGGGCACCCTGTGCCAGGGCCTGCCCACCCTCCCAGGGAAGGATTCCTTCCCAGTATCTCACCTAAATTTCCCCTCTGGCAATGTCAAGCCATTCCCCCCTGGTCCTATCACCGCAGCTCCTGTTGCAAGGTCCCTCTCCAGCTTCCCAGTAGCCCCTCCAGACCCTGGATGGTGCTGTGAGATCTCCACACAACTTTCTCTTCCTGCCCTTATCTCCCTCGAATCCTCAGAGCTGTGAAACTCTGTCACCCCCTCATTCTGCCCTAGAGGCTGGATTCTGCTCTGTGCATGACTTTAAAGCAGCAGAATGATAACAAGCAAGGCAGACTGAAAGTTATCACGTTGGTAACATTCCTCCCACCACAGCTGACAACACAACTAAAGACACAACACAGACCATTGATTTCACATTCTGAAAAATCACTGAGAACTCCATAGAAACTTAAAATATTGCAGCATACAACTGCTGAGCTTGGTAGTTAATTTGTCTTCTCAGGTGCTTGGCCAATCCCTTGTCTATCCCAACATCCTCCTGTGTAAAAACCACCCTAGCAGCCTCCCATGGACACACAAGGCAGCGCTCACTTGAGCAGCTCAGACTCACAAGTACAGCACAGTTCATCCAAAACATTAACTAAGTGGTAATTGCAGAAATCTGTAACCTCCACACCTCTCTTCCCTAAGGCAGAGGGGTTTTGGCAGAGGCTCCTCCCTCCCTCCTGGTTACAGCCTGACAAGCTGCTCGATTGTTTCTTGTGTGTGTGACATGTTCAGGTACTGTCTCACAACAATATTAACAGGGCAATTTTAATCAAAGCCACAGGAGGCACTGGAATTAATTACACATTACTGTAATCCTCATAGCAAAACCATTAGACTTTTTCCACCAACAAAAAACAAGCACGCAACACAAGGCAGTCACTGCCCTGCAACACAGCCCACAGGACAGAGCAGAATTTGTTTTTGTATTTCAAAGCTTCACAAAATCTGCTGTTCCTCACTAACTCAGTGTATCAGGAGATGAGATTAATCATTTACAGGTGTATTAATGCTTTAGAAACCTCCACATAAAGAAAAGTTTATCCCAGAGTTAATTAGATATTTATCCAGTTGAACGGATTCATTTATTTTTTTTGTACATCATGGGAAGAATGATGTTGCTGTATTGGAAGCCAACATGCCATTAGGCAAATGTTTTTCAGCAATTCATGTTTCCCAAGAGTTGCTGTGTTGAAAAAAAAAGGAGGCTTTTCATAAAATTAAGGAGCAAATACCCAAAGAGTCATAGAATGGTGGAGTCCCCATCCCTGGAGGAGTCCAAGGAACAAGTGGATGTGGCACTCAGTGCTCTGGTTTGGGTGACAAGGTGGGGACTGGTAACAGGCTGGACTCAATCTTGGAGGTCTTTTCCAGCCCCACTGCTTCTACATATGGAATCACTTATCTTCAAACCATTAAAATACTTGCCAATTTAAAACCATAGTAAAACAATCATGAGTCCTTCACAGACTACACCTGGGAGGATCCCAGTGGACAGAGCCCACTAAGCCAGATTTTGGATTGTGAGGTGTTTACACGTGACTTTCTCCAAGATGTGCAGCTCTTGGTGCCATCACCCCATCCAAAATGCCAACAGGTTCCCTAGCAGAGGTGAAGGGGTGCTGGTACTTACTGCAAGTTCCGCTGCTGAACATGGGAATTGTTTCAAACATCATCTTGTGGAACAGCAGCGCCACTGGTCTATAATCCAGGTGATTCTTTAACAGGTAGCTATAGTAGTACACGTAGCGTCTCTGACTGGGAATTGTCACTCCCTAAACAGAGGGAAAACAAGTGTCAAAAACCTTTGATCAGCATCACTGACAGGGCTCCTGCCCATCACCTCCAGCCCAAAGGAGCAGGTCATTCACTACTGACCAGCCCCCAGCACACAGAGCAGGGCACTGCTTTGCCAGATACTTCAGCACATCTCGGGATGGAGCACCTCTCCCACCAGGAAAGGCTGAGGGAATTGGGATAGCACAGCCTGGAGAAGTGAAGCTTTGGGGTGACCTAATGTGGCCTTCCAGTACCTGAAGGGGCCGACAAAAAATATGGAGAAGGACACAGGGAATGACTTCCCAGTGCCAGAGGGTAGGGTTAGAGGGGACATTGGGAAGGAATTGTTCCCTAGGAGGGTGGGCAGGCCTTGGCACAGGGTGCCCAGAGCAGCTGTGGCTGCCCCTGGATCCCTGCAAGTGTCCAAGGGCAGGATGGATGGGGCTTGGAGCAGCCTGGGATAATGGAAGGTGTCCCTAACACTGCAGGAAGGCTGGAGCTACCCTCTAAGGTCCCTTCTGACCCAAACCCTTCTGTGATTCTGTGCTCTCCAAACATCCATCTCCAGCCATGAAGCAAAGAATGCAGATGTTTCCCATTTCTTAAAAACAAACACCACAGACACCCTGGGGGTCATGTCAAAAATAATCCCATACTGCTCCTTTTTTGGGTATGGAGAGCATCAAATGTTTAACAAGAGGTGCCTTGAATATACTCTAAAGCACCACTACATTTAGGAATTCTAAAATCTACCACTACAGGAATTACATTTTGACACCATTTTAAGTCAAAAGACTAATTTTGGCTAATATCACTGTACTCAAGACTGATGCTATCTTCTCTTTACAAAACATCCTGGAATATTTTCCCAAAAATGTGGAAAGTTTCATTAAAAGAGTCCCAACAGCCCAAGTGTTCAAACTCTGAGGTAAACATTTGCTTTGAGAGCATAAAATCTAAGAATGTTTTTATTACTGATTTTAAATCAGCTCAAAGCTTCAAATAAGGGAACAGCTCTTTAAGCCAACACTTTCAAGTAAAATAGACAAAGATGAAAAACTGTTTCATTTCCCAGAAAATGCATTACATGATCTAGAACAACCTGTTACTGCAGACTTTCAACAGCATCAGTGAGTGATCTGATTAAAACTGAATGTGGAATTGGAATAAAATGGAGATAAACAAAAAATTTTCATACACAAGTCTGTGAGCATTGTGACAAAACCTAGACCTCATTTTTCTGTAAACTTTTAGTTTCATCTGTTTCACCTCACAACAGCCAGAAGCTAAGAGTAGCCAGAGTGCTTTTAATTTAGTAAATCTCTATTCTGCACACATGGAAATAGTCACTTCCTGCCATTTAAAAAAAAAAAAAGAAAGTTGATAATTATGTCTCCTTATCACTTGAGCTGCTTCTATATTACACAAAAGCCCTTTCCCTGCAGCACTTGCACAATGACCTTCCCAAGCAGCCTTGCACACTGGCCGTGGTTTTGGCTCAGATGTCCTCAGTGCTTATCACATCCACTCCTTGAGGGAGCTCTAAACTTCTTTTTCCTGGGATCTGAGCTTCAGGACTGAGCAAATCCCAGCCTCAGAGCAGGCCAGCAGTGCTTGCCAGGGCTGCCAAGCAGGAGGAAAGCAGAGGTGAGGAGAACACATCCTTCTCTGCCCAGAGCTTCCTTGCTCCATAATGGATGTGTCCTATGGAAAAACCCAAGGACACCTGGCCAGGGCAAGCAAAGCTGGGAGCAGAACCAAGGGAGCACTTTGTGATAGTCAATCCCACAGCAAAGCCAGTTCTCAGCCAACAGGGCAGTTTTAGCCCTCCAGCCACAGTCTGACTCCCTGGAGATACAGCCCTTAGATCCTGAGACCCTAAAACCAGTCCCATTGAAGCAGAACTCAGTTCTCCATTTCCAAAGGTCTGAATTCCAAGCAGAACACTTTCATAACAAACTAACAATGCTCCAAGGGGTGCAATCAACCACCACTCACTTTTACTCCAGAAGCACAGGGAAGTAATTCAAGCTTGTGTCTTCCATCTATCACTATCACCATTTTACATGGCTGTGAGATAAGCTCCTCTGGTCTCTATGCCAGAGCTTCCCAGGGCATCCCAAACATTGTCAAGTGCTGCTCCTGGTTCTCCTCTCAATGTAGCACAGGTAGGACTGTGAAGAACAAATATTTTGGAAACAATATTCCCACATTCCCTTTAGGAACACACTCTACTGGGAGAGTGAAGCTGCAGCCTCAGAGCAGGCCTAGGGCATCAGGTTTGGCAAAGGTTGGCAGCTGAGCATGTCCAACAAATAGACACTACAACTGGCGAGCTGTGACACCAACATGGCATCTCTGCCCTGCTCAGAGGGTCATTCTGAGGCTTCCTCACATGAAGTAATTGGTTTTCACTTCCTGTTCAGATACAGCAACACCACAGAAACACAGCATGGTCTGGCTGTGTTGGGAGGGATCTTAAAGATCATCCAGCGCCACCCCCTGCCATGGGCAGGGACAAATCCCACTATCCCAGGTGGCTCCAAGCCCCAAAGTCCAACCTGGTCTTGGACACTTCCAGGGATCCAGGGGCAGCCACAGCTTCTCTGGGCACTCCTCACAGGGAAGAATTCCTTCCCAATATCCCATCTAACCCTACTTTGTCAGCATGAAGCCATTCCCCTTGTCCTGTCCTTCCAGGCCCTTGTAAAGAGTCTCTCTCCACCTTTCTTGTCAGCTCCTCTAGGTACTGGAAAGTCACAATGAGATCACCCCAAGGCTTCTCTTCTTCAGGCTGAACAACTCCAATTCTCTCAGCCTTTTCCCATATGAGAACTCTTAGGAGCCATCCTTGAAAATAAAACTGTATGGTGCTCAAAGAATGCTCCCGAGCAGATCATCTCCAGCACTTGAATAGCTGATCCCTATCCACTGAGCTTCCTTCCAAGCCTAATCCTCACCACAAAACCCTCCAAGGCAGAAGCAGGAGTAAATTAAGACTTTCTCCAGCTGTAGGGAGGTAAGCTGCCAGTCTCTACCACCACAGTAAGGTGTCAGTGCCGGTCATAAGGAAGAGGTGGGATAAACTAATCACTTCAAACAGTGGAAGCAGCAGCTTCTTTAGAGGGCTTTTTGGGCAGTTACTTCTTCCACACCTCTGACAACAGACAAGCACAGTTCTTTATCCCATTTCAGAAAACAGTTTGTCTCCTTTTGTTCCAAAGGAAAATAAGAATCACTCCTGTTCTACAGTGGTGGAGACCGACAGACATAACCATGCAGCCCACACTTCCTAATCTTCACCACTCCCTTCTTCTAAGTTCCCCCCACTACAATGAGTTTCAGAAGCCAAAAGAGGCAGCTTGTAGAGGAAATAAAATACCCCACAAGAGGGCTTGGTCAGGGACACCCTGGGCTCTGCCATGTCTTGCTGCCCAGCACAAGAACAGCCTGTGCAGCAACTCTGAGCCTCACCTACAACAACTCTCACTTGATGGTGCAAAGGCCTCCCTGGAGCTGCTTCTCCCGGCAGGCACTTGGGAAAAGCTGGCTCCAGAAGTGCTCAGGGCTGTGCTCTTGACCAATTAGTCATACTTCCTCTTGCAATTAGACTCACACTTCCTGCCAGCACAGCCTGAGCCCTCGCAGCAGCTCTCTGCCATGAGCATTAATGGCAGCAGTGATTGGAGCTGGGCTGCTCAAAGCAGCCACATGTGCAAAGTGGGCACCTTGTCCTCGCTGTAAACCAAGAAAATCTGGTCCCTATTAAAGCCTTAATCATACCTATGTTGGCCCAAAAGGAAAGAAAAAAGGCATTTGCTTGTCCCTTTGTACAAACAGCTCTTTTGATGCCTCATTGACTTTGAATTGAGGAAGTCAGTTATACAAAGGTGTGGTGAAATCTCAAATCAGAGAGCGGCACTTGACATATAATGCTGAAATATGGGCCACAAGGGAAGAAAAGGCTCCAGAAACCTGCACTGGAATACCTGTTTATAAACACTACTGAAGGATTATGTGAATCACATGCTGCTCACTGGCCACATCAAGATAACCATGCTCAAGTGGAGCTAGGAAGGGAAAAAAGCCAACTCTTGCAGCAGAGACACTGAAACCAAAACAAGTTGCTGGTTACAGACAGTATTTACAGTCAAGTAAACAAGGCTCTCACTACTCCTGTTTAACTGAGTTCTCCCTCCCCTCCAAGATGCCCAAGGTATCCCTGGGGTACTGATAAACACCCAACTGACCTTACCCCCAGCCTGAAGAAATACAACCTTCTTTTCACAAAAGGGAAACTGAGGCACAGCATTTCACTGTGTATTTGTCGTTTTCATGCTGCTTTATTCAGCTCTGGAGATTACTCCTGCTGATAAGGGTTATCTACTCTGTTTATTCAGCACACGGCTCATTCCTAGTCTCTCTCATGCACTTTTACCAAAAGCCACAAAAGTTTTGATGGGAAATCTTGACCTTGTCTCCACTCCAGCATTACACCACAACCAGCTCAGCACTACATGGAAAAACAGCTCCACCTTATCAGCAGAGCAAACTGAGGAGTTACCTGCTCCTTCCACTGAATTAACAGCCAAATTCTAAAATTTCTTAGGCGACATTTCTGCTCTCAAGAGCCTTCAGACATGAGCTCTTCTTATTAGAGACCAACACACTGTGAAATTAATACTTTAATTGTAAATACTCCGGGAGCAGGGAGAGCTCTGTGCTTGAGGAGGTTGAAACTGGCTTGCAGGGATGATCCCCTTGGGATGCTCAACCAACACACTCAGGGAAATATTGAAGACGAGCAGGGAAACTTGCTAAAACTACCTTAAAAGTCATATCTTATCATCTTTGGAGAAGATTTCAAATAAGGAGGGTAAATTGTCATTAACAAGGCCTTAACTGCCCTTTACTGACAAGGGGCACCCAACAATAAGGGCCTTCCAGTTGGGATATTCCCCTATGCATCTCCAAACCCCACCACAGCAGTCAAGAGAACCTGAGGAGATGAACAACTCATCCATTCAGGCAAAATCAGCTGGAACAATCCTCTCATTTGGGCAGAAAATGCTGAATGAGAAAGTTCACTGCCCCTCTGATGCACCATGCAGCAGAACAGTGCTGAAAAAGCCATTTAAAATCAACTGTCCAGGTCTTCTTAAACAGGACATGTGAAAAAACAGGCTGGTTTAGAGCTGTGACTAAAGGCTACTGCTGCTTAGGAAAGCGTTTCCATTTCCACTGCACGGATCCAATCCTACTGGAGCTAAATCAGACATCGCAACTTAAAAGGGTTTGAGCATCAAATGGATCTCAAGGAGGAAAAAGCAGCCAGTTACAGGTTAGTTACAGGTAGAGGGCAGAACAGCAACAGCTCACCTTCTTGTCTCTGGTCCTTACTTCCCCATAGAAATCGAGGGCTTCTTGGGCCCTTAAAAACTTCCCTCGATGCAACAAATATGCACAAATCATTACACCAGTTCGTCCCTTTCCAGCTTTACAGTGGATTGCTGCCACATGATTGTCATCTTCACTTAGCCACTGGTCAAGATCTTCACAAAAAGGTTTGATGAGCTCCAGCTGTGGTGGGTTATGGTCTTCAAAAGGGTACTGTGCAACTGCAGGGAGAAGGAGTTCATCAGAACCTCAAAAGGCAAAGCAAGCTCAGGTCACCTTTGTGACAAGCATGTAAAAATTAAGTTATTCAATTATCCCCCCCCCCCCCCCATCTTCCATATCGATATGTATTTTTAATTCCAGTATTATTCAGTATATCATGAGCACTGCAAACATTTCTCCAGCAGTCCATAAGCAGGCATCCTGCTCCACTGAGCAACTATTTCACCCCTCTATTGAACTGAGTGGCACAGGCTCTGTAACATGAGTTTTCTAGAATTTAAGAGCGTGCTGGCACACAGAATAACCTTGTGAAAAGCCATTACTCCAGCAATAATTAAACTACCTGCTGAGAGAGAGCAAGGCCAGACCTCAGTCACTGAGCAGACAACAGGAACTTTGCTGAAAAATTACCGAACACAGTTGGGTCTACATTGGGAAAAAACTGTCAGAATCTGCTCAAAAGCCTTGTGAAACAAAAATCTGTCATTTCTATTATTTCAAAAATTGTAATTGGGAGAGAAATCTCAGGTAAGGCACTGGCAATACTTGTGGGGTTTAGAGTCAGAACACTGAACAACGCTGTCCTTTCTGATATGGGTGTATTCACACACACTTTTCCATCTAGGGATGAAAAGAATTTCAAGCGATGCAGGAAATGCAAGAAAACTCAAGAGAGCAAAAAATAAGCATTAAGCAGAAACACCCAAACTTCTCCCACCTCAGATGAGATGAGGGACAATATCACCCCGACCAGCAGAACTACACACAATGTTCTGCTTTCAGCAGAACAGCACTTGATGAAGTGCACCCCAATTCCTCTCCAACAGCCTTGGGATCTTATAAATACAACTCCAGTTCACTTCAAAATTCCCAGCTAGAAAAACCATTTCCTTTTCTGGGCTAAAAATGAATACATTTCATTTTTTTGGCAAGTGTCTGTATTGGTTTCGTCAGCACCACTCTGTAGTCACACACGCAAGACTCCTTTTGATGAATCCCCAAGGACTCCTACAGCACAAGCGAGGGATGAAGTTATGGAACTGCTGAAGGATTGCAGGACAAGTCCACAGCCTTTTGGAGGAATCAACAAATTTATTCACTCACAGCACAGACTGCCCCCTTCATCTCCCAGAACAAATGGGGAAGCTGATAAAGTGAATAATCTTTGCTAAAGAGCCAACACATGTTCACAAACATGAACACACAAACTCTTCCACACAGAAGATCCAAAGGCTCCCCAAATGACCCCCAAAGTTTTACGAGACCCTAAAGATGGGATTTATTTAGAAATCCCTAAGAAAAGGAGCTGCAAAAATGTCTGTACAGCTTTGAGTCTATCACAATTACAGCCAGCAAGGTTTCCATGAGAAGGGGAGTAAAGAAGTCCTGAAAGAACAGCCTGGAAACTCCCAAGTAGTCACAAGATGCTGAAGATGCTCTCCAAGATTTGGAATAAAAGGCAAACCTTGTGGTACTTTCTTCAAAGCTGAAGTGAGAAGATGAAATGGGTGCCCTGGGATGGTGTGGAGGGATTAAGAGGAAAGAAACATTAAGCTGTACAGTCTTGAGCGGGGCCATGAGAAGGTGCATTTCGTCCCTCCATGGATTTTGATTCCTTACAATGGAACACACAGCCTGGAGAATAATCCTGCTTGCTCTATCCCAGCCCCTACATATATCAAGAAGAATCCCATAGCACACAGAAGAGTTAAAAAAAAAAAAAAGAAAGTCTGTGGCTAAGAAGAAGACAATTCCAGCATGGAAGGATTTCAGAAACTGGAAAAACCATGGACACAAAGTTACTTCCCAGAGAAGATGAAGAGCTTTTAGTGTTTGGGGTTTTATGTGATGCAAGATCATCCTGGGTGAATAATGAACTATTCTGGTGTTTCATGGTCAGTACAAAAGAGAAGTTCCCTTTGCAGTCAGTTCACTTCAGAAGATTTTCAAGTAGAACTTTTGCTCCTCTGCTAAGGGAAGTCCTGAGTCACCAATTTGGTTATCTGAGGTTAACTAATTCGGGGATGAACATTAAAAAATGCAGCATGTCTTGTGCAGAGGAGCTGTGAAAGGTGCTGTCATAAACAGCATTTGGGGCTGGGATTGACAGCAAAGGGAGCTGAGCACCCCCGTACCAAAAAGCAGAAATTAAAGCAAACATATGTTCTGGCCATATTAGAACATGTCCTCTTCTCTTCTTACCCAAAGCACTGCTCAAGCAGATCCTAAAATACTTTTTTCTGGCTGGTGAGTATGGAGTGAGGTTTCAGGGCACTGTCATTCAACATCGTAAGAGCAAATCAGAAGCGCTGACGACTTCAACAAGACAATTTCAGTCCTTCTATATTAAGGCATTAAAGCAGCCAATTACATTTTGGTCACGTTCTAAAGCCTCTTCATAACTAGATGGATGGTTTAAAATAATATTCATGAAAAACGGAAGTTGAGCCATTGCTATGATGCAGAATAAGCCCAAAATTTGTTTATCTCCTACGATTCCCTAGGCACAAGGACTCCTCATCTACCCTCATCTGAAGCACAGGAACTACAACTTCTGAGCAAGAAATGCTCCTCTGCCCAAAGAACATGGATAAATCTACATTTATTTATTTCCTGGGGAAGTAACACTGACACAACAGTTACATCAGTATCCACTCACAAGGACCTGGTCAACAGGCACCTCTGAAAGATTCCTCACTGCTTTTGGCAGCTCTGCAGTGTCTAAGACCCAACCCATCTCTAAGGATGTCACATGGGAATTTATCTTTTTTTTTAGCATCTAAAGGTTCTTCCAGATCTTCCAAAAGTTGCTTTACACACATAGTGATAGTGGCTTAAGTGTTCTCCATCTTTCATCCTTCATAAAAACCAGACTCCTCTGAGCCTCACACTGTAAATGTAAATTGTACAAGGAGTTTGTACTTCTGTGTAACACATTCTGCAGAAATTTTTTGCACATGTAGACTTTTTATTAGATCTTGATCTTTAACTGTCAGGAACACAGTTTTTTGAAAGCACCAAGAATATAGCAAGTTTTTCCAATGACTCAAAGCAATCTGACATCATTCCTTGTGCCCAAATCTCCTACATGACTATTCATCAGCTCCTCCTTTAGGCCTTCATTCACTGAGGTTTAAAGAGAACACACATTAGGCAGTAAAAACGTACCTCTGCAGTTAAATTTGGCGGTGTCATAATGTCTTTCAGCACATCTAAAAAAAAAAATAGACAAGAGTTCAAGACAAGTCTCTGAGGCACTCCCAGCATCTATCACACCCAGGGAAATAATGCATGCCCATCACCTTTATGATTTAAAACTAGAGGTTACACACACACAAAAAAAAAACCAAACTGTTTTGCAGCAGACTGCTCACTAAAATGTGAATTATTTTACTGAAAGGCAAACACTTACCCCTCTGGTAACTGTAGTCCATGGCTATGTTTTAGTCAACGTGACTCAATTCATTCAAGTATTATTACCTTGTAACCCTGTGCATGAGCAGCTCCAGCACTGGAGCAGCTTTCTGCTGCCAAACACACGGAGAGCAGACAGCTGTGACCTTCATCCAGGGGATCCTCAACTCAGAACACAGGTCAGGGTGCCTCAGCAGCAGCGTGGGTGCTCAGAGCGATGGGGATCACAAGGACATCACAGGAGCACCACAAGCCCCACTGAGTATCATCACTTGTATCAAGCAGATTGTGACACTGCTCTGCCACTCGGCATTGATTCCTGAATTTAAGTGAACCCTGAAGGCCAGTCAGCCACTTTCCCCCTCAGAGCTGGCAAATGACACATTTCTCAAGGCTCTGCAGCCACATCAGTCTCTGCCCATTCGAAGACACCCTCTCCAGCTAGACAGGAGCACAGCAAACCACACTGGATTTGCCTTGCCCAGGGATAAACACCAGTGATGAGACAGAAACCCAAACCCTCAGCTGGGCTCTAAACCAGCCAAACCAGCACACTAGGGAACAACCAGATCAGATCTTGGGGTAAGGGGAAAGAAGGCAAGATTGGATATCCTCCAGAATTTTCCTTGGAGCTGCTCCCTGCAGGGAAGATGATGTGAGTGGAAGTGCAGTTCAGAAAGGAAAATTGAGAATAATCCTGCCTCAAATCCTGCCAAGACCAGATTGGATGGGGACCTGAGCAACCTGATCTAGTGAATGGCATCCCTGCCCACAGCAGGGAGCTGGAACAAGATGATGTTTAAGGTCCTTCCAACCCAAACCATTCTATGAAAGTGGACACCAGGTTGAAACACAACTACTGGAGTCATTTCAGTAGACAAATCACACCTAGATCTTTGGTTCTGATTACAGCCTGTACTTTTCACAGGGTTCCAATTCCCACAGCAGTTTCAGGACTGCTATGAACTCATCCCTGCTTACCAGGTATGACTGCAGCCTTTGGAGCCATATGGAACTTAGCTGACACTTTCAGACATTCAAACTTTTGGGCTCCTCCTTGTGCAATTGTAACTGGAGCCTCCCAGAGCTGCCCTGAGCTCTGCCCATGACACAGACACAGGCAGGGCTACTGAGGCTGCACATGCTCTCACTGCTTCCTTTTCCCTGAATTCCAGAGCCTTCTTGGCTCTGCCCTCTGCTAGGGAAAAGCCTGGCAGCTTTCAAAGCTCCAATCACATTGCTGACACTTTCTCTGGGTCACAAGTGACCAGGTTAAGCTGGCAGAGGGGACTCACAAAAATATTATCTGCACTTGAGCCTCTGAGCAGAGAGGCTGTATGCAGGATGTACATCCAAGAGGGATGGAGCAGCCAGCAGCACAGGAACTGTGGAAGCTGCTAGGAAGCAAAGCAGTTAACACAAAGCATCTTATCCAAGGAAAGTTTCCTGCTTCCTTCTAAAGAAACACCCAACTCAAATGGGGAATAAGTGATGGAAGTCCTCAAAACATTTCAAAAAATCCACAAACAGACAGAAAATTCATCAAATTTGGAACTGTGAGAGAGTATCATCAAGTAGAATACCATGAGGGATAAAAAAAATAGTTTTGTTGATACCAAGGATAAAAACTGAGTGCAGGACATGGTCATGTCCCTCTCTCTGCCCTCTTCTGGGAGCTGAACACAACCAGTGCAGAGCTCCTGGCTCAGCAGCACTAAATTTTTGTGTGTTGGCAGCAGAAATCCCACCAACACCCACTTTGGGGATACTGATGGGGCTTAATGCTTCAATGCATTTGGGGTGGGGTTTTTAAACACCATTATAACTCAAATAGCATCAGATGTCCAGATGAAACCTGAATATTTTTTGACATTTTTGGGGTTAAGGAGGGGGTTGGCTGCTCCTCAGATCCTCCTTAGGATTAAAGTGAGTTTAAAGCAGCCCAGAAGCGAAGTGCTGCCAGCCAGGCACCCTCCTGATCGGTCATGGTTCCACCGCTGACAGGACTAGGGGCTTCCTCTGCCATTGCTCAGCCCCAGGGATACAGCAAGCACAGAAAATCCCCATTTTCACCACAGCTCCTTCCTTTAACCACCTGCCTGCAGGACAGTCCAAGGAAACCCACTGGAGAAGATGGAAATGATTACAACAGGGCAGGTGACAGTCTGTCAGCATGGGAAGTTGAGAGATCCAAGTGGAAGAACAGATTTAAATTAAGGAGAATACTGAAGAAATAGCAAAGGGTTAAAGGCAAAGAGGACAGAAGCAACAAAAGAAGGAAAATGAAACTGATCAAACTGCTGGGAAGTTAAAAGCCAAGATGTAAAGATGGGGCAGAGCTGACAGTTTCAGAAAAATCTCTAAATCCTTTTAGATAAAACTGCAATACACACATTATTATCAACTTCATGGAACAGCTACCTTAAGGGAACTCAAATCCCATGACAGAGTTTGAAATAATTCTGACTATAATCACATAACTCCTCTGAACTCCCACCTCCTCTTTTGAAACACTGACAATAGATCACTATTTACAAAGGATCAGCTTAATCTGAAGAAACTGAGTTCTCTGGAATACCTGATGGATGCAATTCTTCCCATCTCCTGACCAAACATTGCCACAATTCACCTGATGGCATTTTATGTGTATAAATTTTGCCTGCACAACCATTAAGATCTCTCTGGACAGTTTTATCCTCCAAAATTTTTCATCTGAGGATGAAAAAAGTAATTCAAGGAAGATTTGTGATCATTTTGCAGTTAACAACAAGAAAATCAATTTTTATATAAAGAACGCAAAGACAAAAACCTCTGGCACACCTGGACAAGTTTTTTCCACAGCTGAAAACACACAGAGCAGCAACAGAAAAGTCAAATGCATTTGTCTCATCGCTGTTCTTCTCACTTACAAACTTTAAAGCTTCCTGTGCAGGGCTGGGGGACTGAGCTGTGTTTCTTTACAGTAAAATGAGGCAGCTGGCAGACAGCAAAGTGGAAGCTTAGCGAGGAGCTCCTCAGGGAGGTAGTACTTGAAAAGATGCTCATCAGTCCTCCTAAAATCCTCTTTTCTGACAAATTTCCTCCAGCAGCCTCCAGTTGTTACCTGGCACCTCTGGAGGCACACTGGAACAGGGTGCTCAGCAAACCCAGACCCTGTCAGGGACACCAAAGCCACCCTTCCCAGCAGGCGACAGCTGCGCTGGCCCCAGGCAGCAGCAGGAGATTGCATTTAGCTGCCCATGCTCTGCTTTGTTCCTCAAAACAAGCAGGAGCTGCCAGGAAGCTTTGGGGGGGCTGATGAAGCAGAGCAGTTTGACTTTAAATGATCCAGATCTCCCGAGCTGAGCTCCAGAAGATTCCAAAGGAAAAGAGCCAGGAATTACCTCCTCTACCTGCACCTCCGTGCCAAGGAGCCATCAGCTCTTCTGGGAAGCACTGGCCTTTCCACCCGGAAATGTTATCCATCTATTAAAAGGATGACAACTCTGGAAAGCTCCTAAGCTGGAAAATATAATTTTGCTACTGAACTCTATGAAAGGTGACCAATGTCTCTTTTTTTATGTATCTTTTTCTGCCCCACAACAACTTCAATGACCACTGTAAAGTTCCTCAGCTTCTACTGTCACTTCCCTCCAATATCAGGGAACAGCTGATTGATCCACAATCCTTTACCTAACCTAGAGGCAAATTTAAATCCTTATTTTTAAATATTTGTTTTAATGACTGACAGATTACAATGTCATGCATTGCCTGGATTTCAGTACTACAGTAATTTTTCTATTAATTGTAAATATTTAAAAACATATCTATTAAAAAAAATAATAAAGCTGTAACAGTTCAACAAATCAATCTTCAACTTAGATTTTTTAAAAAAAAATGAGGGGTAGGAAAACCATGGCTCTTTGACATCACCAAATCATTTATACAAATGAAATTAGCCTAAGCTAACGAATAAATTAGATGAAGGAACAGCAACAACAACAAAAAATATAAAACCAAAACCAGAAAACTCCTTTAAATGTTACAGCTTTCTGCAGAACCAAATTTTCAGAGGAAAACATTATACTCAGAGAAGTCAGAAACCACCACTAATTGCTCCAACAGCTTTTTTGAAGTAATAAACAGGGACAGACACGAAGAGGGAAGAAGCAGAGTCTGGGTACCAATGCAGTTTGATTTTTTTAAAAAATAAGAGAAAAAAACAGGAAAATATTCATTTGGCAAATGGACATTAATACATGAACAGAAAGCCTGCTGTGAATTACTTTTCACTTTTTAATCACATGGCCCAAGCTCCAGATGGGCTGGATGCCAAGTCATTTAAAAGCGTTCAAGTAACATGAATACACACCAGCATTTCATTTAACCTCACTCAGCTCCACCTAATGAAGTACCAGTGCTCTCAATCAGGCTTAATTGTTTTAAGAAACGTGCAAAACATCTCCATCTCTGCTTCAGGACAGCAACAAGCCACTTGCACTCCTCAGCTATTTTTAGAAGTCATTATTTTGGAGAATACATCTTTAAGAGCATACTTACAGATTGTATATCTTGTAATGGTTTTTATGCTTTGAATCCAAAAACCTTCAAGAGAAAAAAAAAAGTATGCATTAATATACACTGAATAATATTGACCTTAATTTGCAGCATCCTTAAAGCACCACCCAGCCAGCATGTGCAGTTCTGCACTCCAAGTCCCAGCCCTGCAGAGCCCCAAAGATCAAGGGGGCAGCATGTTGGGAACCTCAGTCATCCAAATAATCCAACAGCATGGATAACATGACTAACGTAACTAAGGGAACCAAGATCTGACCTGAAACTGAAACATTTACTGTATGTGGACTGATTTCCTGATTGCTAAAACACCTGCAGATCACTGTGAGAAGCTGAGGAAGGCTTGGCTAATTTCAAACAGAAAGCACTGATTACACCAGGTATCTGTAAACAATTCCTATTTAATCACCTATACGAAATATTTTGCCACAAGGAAGAAAAGCAGTTGAAGAGAATCATTCACTTTCATCCCTGTTTTTTTATTATTTGCCACTGAAGTCTGTCCCCAGTGACATTCTGGGTTTTGGAAGGAAGACCACTACACTTTCTCACACTCATTTAATTTCCATGCTCACTTTGGAACACAAACTTCCCATACAAGCCTTGGCGAGCCAAACTGCAAGCATGATTCATCAGAATTGCTGTGATTATATATGATGTGTCACCTGGCAATGTGCAAGAAGAAATAACATGCAAATGTTTACACTTAACATCATCAACAGTGTGTATCTGCACATCAGCCAGAAGGAATTTAATTAGCCATGACAGAACATGCTGTTCAAATTGAAAAGAAACACTAGCTGCTAAAATCCTGGAAAGCTCAAGCAAAAACAAGCTCTGGTTATCAGTCATAATATTCCAGAAGAACCTAGAACAGCTCTGTGGTTAAAGGCCTGCGCTAAAATGGGAACAGATGTGAGCGCTCCTTGTGCAGCACCGAGTGTGAAACTCCGAGTCCATCAGGAAAAAAATTCCCTGACTCCCACTGGTGCCCCTGTTGGCAGCCTTGGAGAACCTCAGGAAGATGGTGGACACGGGGATTTGCTTCAGGAGATGTTCTGTTTGTTAACACACACCGGAGAGTGAGGAGAGCTGGCTCTGCTTTTCTAGGAATATCCACACAGTGGAGTATAAGCTTCCAGGCAAGGATTTTTTCAAAGGACAAAATTCCATCCAAAACCTCTCCAAGTGTCAGTCACAGGAGACAGCCAGTGGTGCAGGTTGTACTTCTCATCCAGCATTAGCCTGGAATTTGTCAGGGTACCAGCTATTCAGAAAAAGCCCACTGCTGGATCCTGGCTCAATACCAATTGCTCGGCAGCTCGAGCACCTTGGATTTCTGCATAAAAAGCACTTGGGAAAAACTCCCCAATCAAAAGATGACTGGAGCAGATGAGGACTGCAACATGCAGAATGCTGCATGATCACATTTTATTCTTGTTTAAAAAGAGAAGACAACTAATGTAATAATACTTGAGCATCCAGTTCCCTGCAGCCACTTAATTTACATCTCTGTTTATCTTAATTTGGTTGATGATGCTTTTAGGTGATCACTGCTCCTTTTGATCAGTGTTTATGGACAGCTTAATAATTATATAGGCATTCCAGTACTAAAATCTAATTTACACATATCTACCTACTCAACCACTAAAATGTGTTTTCCTTCATCCAGAAGCTACTGAAATCAATGCTGTGAATGGAAGAGAGCCTTCAAAGACTCCTGCCTATCAATATTTATTTACATTATTTCCATGTTAGATCAGATATTACTAAGAAATTCTTGGCTGTGAGGGTGGGCAGGCCCTGGCACAGGGTGCCCAGAGAAGCTGTGGCTGCCCCTGGATCCCTGGAAGTGTCCAAGGCCAGGCTGGACAGGGTTTGGAGCAGCCTGGGATAGTGGAAGGTGTCCCTGCCCACGGGATAATATATAATAATAAATAATTAATAATAAATATATTATATATAAATATATAATAATAAATAATTAAATACCTTCCAACCAAAACGATTCTGTGACTGATCCAAAGTCCAGCCTTTGACCCTATCCCACAATTTTCAAAGGTGGAGCTCATCAGGGACTGGATATTCCATGAACTTCATTAAAAGGGGCCTCTGACTGCTGGGAAAGAAAGCTGGCTGGAGAGGTGGAGTTTGTGTGTCAGGAGGGACCTTAAAGCCTATCCAGTTCCACTCCCTGCCATGGGCAGGGACACCTTCCACTATCCCAGGCTGCTCCAAGCCCTGTCCAACCTGGCCTTGGACACTTCCAGGCATCCAGGGACAGCCCCAACCTCTCCAAGCAATGTTATCTTGTGTGAATTAAAGAACACAACTTCCCCCTCTGTTAACAATCCCCCTCCACACACACACCCTCTCTCCATGAGTGCTTCCTGCCCGCTGCACTGACCCTCACTGATCTGCCCAGCTCTGGAGAAGCCATGACTTCTCAGCAAGGCAGCAGAGATTGCAGGCACTGCACTTCCCCCAGCCAGGTCAGCTCCAGGCTCTGACACTCTCAGTGCTATTTGTGGATGGTGATTTTCATCACGACAGTGGAACATGCAAAACCAACCCCCTGGAGCCCAGCTGAGCGCAGCTGTGCAGGGAGCCACTGCCTCCAGACTGTCAGGTGAGGGTGACGAGTCCTCCCAGGGTGGGAACTGAGGAGCTCAGCTCACTTCTGCATCAGCCTGGATGCAATTCCCACAGAAACTCCAGCAGCCCTAGTTCTGCTTCCCAGCAACTGTAGAATCATGGAATCCCAGAACAGGTAGGGTGGGAAAAGACCTTAAAGCCCATCCAGTGCCACCTCTGCCAGGGCTCCAGCCCCATCAGCATCTCAGTGGCCTCTGGACTTGCTCCAAGAGTTCCTCATCCTTATGCTGGAGGCACCAGAATTCCAGGTGGGGTCTCACCTGAGTAGGGCAGAAACCTCCTTGCCCAGACACGCCCATTACCTTCCCTGAAAACCTTCCTGCATGATCCTCCACCCTAAAGGCTGAGTCTCTCACAGACCTATGGAGCTCATGACTCTCTAAAGCACCATGGCTTCAGAAAATCACAACTTTTAATCCTAAAAGCACAAACTTTCTGCAGCTTCTACCAAGTGTTTAGTTTTTAATGCAACCTCTCACACTCTCCAAGTAGGATTTTTTAACTGAATTAATTACATCAGCATTCCTACAACACTCCCCACCTCTTCTTCAATTGTAGCCAGCAGTTTAGAGTAATGACCTTATTTGAAATTAAAAATGACAACCTATAGGTTTGTTATTTTTTTACCAGCAGTAACAGATTTTAGGTCATCTTTCTCCTTGTCCATAATTATTCAACACAGCCAAATCTACAAGCCTTTATTTCAAGTCACCTATATTTACTATTTGAATTCAAAATTTCCTTATCAAGCACTTCATTTATTGATTAAGAAAGGATAAGAGCAAACTTATCCTGAAATACCATCAGCTACCTGAGGAAACTCTTGACACTGAAGAGATGCATGGTTTGGTGTCTTTCTAAAAGTAAATAACCTTTTTATACTCCAACACAACTTACTGAAGTCAGTTTTTTTACACTAAAAAAGCAGATTATATGCATTTGAGATCAACCCAGATCAGCAGCCTGGCCATTTTTTGTTGTTCCCAACATTTTTCAGGAAAGCTATTAAGGCAATATCTATAAGATGCAAAAAATCTCAGCATTTCTACAAGTCAGAACACACAGCCTTCCCTCAGCAGGACATAAATGAGTATAGAAAAGATTATTCCAAGTTTTATAAGTTAAGGAAAAGAAAAATAAAGCCTTACCTTACTACATCATCAATGTTGTTCCGGTACACCCCTTCAAGCCTCTCCGCAGGGAAGCCCATAGCAATTATGTTTGGATAAATATCTGAATATGCAAGTTATGGAAATATTTAGAAAGCATGTGAAATGTCTACAAAAGCATTAAATGCATATTAATTAAATGTGTAGCTGTACCCAAATCAGAGCAACAACTCAAGAGACTGCATGCAACAGATGTAGGGACGTGCAGATCTGAAAAGGATTATATACCTTGCTTATCAAAAAAACCCCAACAATTACCCACTTCTGAGCAAATGTTCTCATTTCTTATTCTGAGGTATCTGCGATTCACTTGCCAAAAGCAATCCAGGAAAAAAAAAATTAAGAAAAGTACCTCTTAACCAAACAAAGCAACGTTAAGGAAGAAGGGCAAATAAGAAAATTTTAAGTTTACATTTAGAGCTGATGTAGTAAAGAACTCACAACTACTAGAAAATTACTGGTATTTATTTTCCCTGTGGTGAAATGATACATGGATTTCTTTTTAAACACTGTTCTAAAAAAGAAAGTCCTCCCAAGTTTAAAGCATTATTAGAAATGATAATGTAGTGAAAAAGCTCAGCTGAAAAGCAAACCAGAAATGAAAGCAGCAGCTCGAAACAGCCCATACCCTGCCACATTAACATACTCCTCCTCAAACTAATTTTAGAAGGAGCAAGAACAAAGCATGATATGTTTGAAGTTGGCCCTGCTTTAAAAAGGGGGGCTGAAGGAGGTGATTTCCAGAGGGCCCTCTCAACCTAAATTATCCCACCCTTTTAAGACTCATTTTTATTTTCATGGTCAAAATATACCAAAGCTCCAAAGAATAATCACATCAGAATGGGAGACACCGCATTGGCTTCCAAGATATTAAAATTCCAGTTACTTGTGCACGAAGAAAAGCCTGAAGTAGGACACAAACTACTTTACTCCACCCTTGCAAAATTCCCACAAGTCCTCAGAGCAGAGCAGCACAGACCAAGTTCTGCATTGACACCATTAACTGCAAGGCTTCAGAAAAACATTAGGAACTGAATACACGGAAATAATGTTTTGTACTCTTGAAAAAAAAAAAAAATAAAAATTAACGTTTACTGTGTTGTAATCCAAGTATTAATAGACATTGGTCTGCTTGGACCATTCAATAGATCATTTATATAGACAAAGAGAAAAATATGAAAAAGCTTTGGAGTAAGCCAAATAAATATTTGTGGCTGCTTTAAATACAGGCACTGAAACAGGTTTGTGTCTGGTTTCCAGTTTATTCTGTACTTGCCCAAACACTAAAAAACACATATTGGGGAAAAAACCCAGACACCTCAAACATTAAAGTGCTTAACTTAGAGAGCTTGGGATAACCTCAAATCACAAACTTTGAATTTCCCTCTGATCTATTTTACTCAGCAAGCAGTTCACACCTCTTTAATTAACAAAGGTGCTATATAATTAGCAATGTCTTCACTGTTTTATCAGTTATTCCTTGCCATAAACAGAAGAAACTGGTTCTATAATATATTAACTGTGAATTACCTGGCTAATACACCCCATCACTCCCTCCTCCTTCCCAATTTCAGCCTGATTCCTCCCTATTCCCAGTTCCAGCATTTATCCTCCAGAGCCCATCCTCTTGCATCCTGCTCTGAGCAGCGGGGCTACACAAGCTATAAATTACCACAGCAAAATAATCCAGTACATCAGTCTGCTCTCCACAGCAGTTTGTGTAGAAGATGAGCCCTGGTGCTGGCAACAGAGGGAAAACAATTTTGACACATCAAAACAAAACTCAGTTTCAGTTACACTATCACCCATGGGACAGATGCCCAAACTTCACCGAATTGTGAGTGACTTGTTCACATTTGTATTTGCAATCAAGAGCTTTCCTACATTTTTTCAGGCACTGCAGCCTGTGGTTGATGCTCAGATGCTTCTCCTCTCCGAGGGGCTGAGACAGGAGATACTTTCCAGGATTCCCAGCTGGTGCAAGATGGGATCGAGGCAGACACACCCCCCCGAGCCAAGGGAACAGAACATCTTAACAGCAGCGTTCCCAGCCTGCTCACACACTGCTCCAAACACCAAAGCCTCCAAACACGCAGGCACAGGGAGATAAAAAGTTCCAAAATAACCGGGGTGCTCCCAGGCTGTTGGAATCGCGATTCCCGCTTGGCTCCCGGCTCTCCCTGCTCCACTCCTTTGCTCAAGGGCGATGCACGAGGGTGAGGGCACAGCTCACAGCCATTCCTGCTTCCAAACTGCTGCAAGACTGGCTCAAGGATCCAGCAGGCTGGGAAAGCCCTCTAGGATCAGGAGTCCAGCCTCTGACTGATCACCACCTTGACAACCAGGAATCACTGGGAATGCTTAAGCTGATCCATGCATCATCCCTGGCAGTGTCCTAGGCCAGGCTGGACAGGGCTTGGAGCAGCCTGGGATGGTGGAATTCCATGGCATGGCACTGAATGAGCTTTGAAGTCCCCTAAATCATTCCATGATTCTGTGACCACTACAACTCTTTTTACCTTTTAACCAGAAGTGGGAATTGCAAAAGGTGTTCCCCAATATGCCAGTAAAGAAATCAAATGGGGTGTGTGGAGGGGAAATATGAATCCATTTACTGAGGCCACTTTGACATGAGGAAGAACTTCCCTGAAGGGTAACAGAGCACTGGAACAGCTGCCCTGGGAGGGTGTTGAGTCTCTCTGGAGACATTCCAAGCCCACCTGGAAGTGCTCCTGTGTCACCTGCTTCAGGCGACCCTGCCTGGAGAGGGAGTTAGACTGGATGGTCTCCAGAGGTCCCTTCCAACCCCAACTATTCTGTGAGTCTGTGACACTGATTCACTAAAAGTGTTTACTGTGCTCTGGGGCTTTGCAACCTGACAGCACGAAAACCTCAAGTGTTGCTCAAAATTAAATATCCAACAGTAAGCTGAATGGGGATGAAGGGTTGTTTTAAGAAAAACATAATTATTTTCTTAAATAGGCAAGCCAATGTCTCCCCCACCTAAATATAATCGTCCTGAAGCACCTCAGTGATTATCTCAAAGCATTAGACTGGAATGCAGCTCACAGCCACTGCTGACTCACCCTGGTGTCTGCACAGGGCTGGTGCCAAAGGACACGGCCCCAGCGACGCCCTTCCAGGCACCAGGCTGCATCTGCTCCCGTGGAAAGCACGGAGCAGTAATGACAACCCATTCTTACTGCTGAGAAAGAGAATTTGGGGTCTTTTCAACATGTGCTCCTGAGAGCATGGAGAAGAGACGGAACCAACAAATATCCTGAGCTGGCAGGGACCCACAGGGATCACCCAGTCCATCCCTTGGCCCTGCACAAACACCCCAACAATCCCAGCCTGTGCATCCCTGAGAGCATTGTCCAAATGCTCCTGGAGCTCTGGCAGCCTTGATGTGTTGCTTTGAAGCTCCTGTGGTTGTTCCAACAACTAAAGAATGCCTTTGCTTTAGGGAGCAGTAAGATGGAAGAACAGCATGGAAGTGGTGCTGCACAGATGAATTAAATCTCTAAGCAGAAATAGAAGCTTCATCACTTAAGTGGAAAAGCTGTCATAAAGCCAACTTCTTCCACCCATCCTGTGAAAAGATACCCCAAGGCCTGCAAAGGGGATGGTTGTTCCTGCATCCCTCCCAGCCTGTTTTTATTCCCATGCTGGGAAATGAAACCCCTTTGCAGGGACAGGGACAGCCCCTGATGACTGCAAAGACCAGTTCAGGAGCAACTATCCACTGAGCACCTCCTTCAGCAGGCTCTGCTCTCACCAGCCACGCTCAACAGCTCACAGACACCCCTTTTCACACCTCACTTCATTTAACATCGATTTCCAAAGCTGAAATTAAGATACTCACTACTGAGATGAGATTTTGTACACGGGAGCTTGGGAAGCTGGGCTTCCATTCAAAGGAAGAACTCTGAGTCATCATGAAATTGGTAATCATACTACTAATTTTAGAAATCTGGGAGAACTGATCATTGAAAACGTGCAACAAGCTCATTATCAATTCCAAACTTCTTTTTTTTTTAAGACAGGAAAACAAAAATGGAAAAAGCCTCAGTCATTTACTGAGGCTGTTCAACACATGCAAAAACAAAGTCAACCACAGTGGTGTAACTACCAAAATTTCATAGGATCATAGGATATGCTGAGTTGGAAGGAACCCACAAGGATCTACAAGGATTTGAAATGGGCTTTCTAAACAGCATAAAATAAATCCCACATTTTGCCAAAGTAGCTCTTTCCTCAGATACTCATTCCCAAAAACAGTTCTAACAGTTTTGAAAGTACTCACTCCTTCCTCAGTGTTGTAAACATGGAAGCTGCGATTTTAGTTTAGTGCTGATAAAAAAAAAAAAAAATACCATGGAGAGACTCATGATTGTAGAACCACAAATATCCTCAGCTGGAAGAGATCCCCAAGGATCATCCAGTCCAGCTCCCAGCCCTGCCCAGAGCCCCCAACAATCCCAGCCTGTGCATCCCTGGCAGCACCGTCCAAACGCTCCTGGAGCTCTGGCAGCCTCAGGCCGTGCCCATTCCCTGGGGAGCCTGGGCAGTGCCAGCACCCTCTGGGGGAAGAGCCTTTCCCTGATCTCCAGCCTGAGCCTGGCCTGGCACAGCTCCAGCCCTTCCCTGGGTCCTGTCCCTGTCACAGAGAGCGGAGCTGCAGCCCCTGGTGAGGTCTGAGCTCAGTCTCCTCCAGCTGAACAAATCCAGTGCTCCCAGCTGCTTCTCATGCAGCTGCTCCAGACCCTTCCCCATCCCCATGTCCCTCCCTTGGTCACTCTCTGGCAGTTTTACATCTTTTCTGTACTCTGGTGCCTCATGACACACAGGCAGAACACCAGAACACTGCTCTCCACTCAAGTTCTTATCACCAACTACAGAACTCCACTTCCAAAGGAGCCGAGACAACACTGCGCTGTGCCCAAGGAACCTTAAAATCACAGCACCCAATTATCTTCTAAATCACCCAATGCCACAATGATGCTTTGTCAGTACTGAAACCAGACCAATGCAAATAACCCATGTGCCACTTCAGAAATGCCT